GCTGGGGTAGCAGACATTGAGTACATCACTCAAATCCCATGAAGTTGTTTAGCTTCCAGTTCTACATCCTGAGGAGTTAAATCTCTGGAAGAAGGGAATGACCTGGATGTCCCACTGGGTGCTCTCCTGGTGCAGGATAACTCCTGGCCTGGGGATGCAGCTGGGTGTTTCGCAGGGGCTTGCAGTTTTACTGTTAGTCCTATTCTCCTGAGCTCCCATCCTCCTCTTCCAGCTCCTCACACATCTATCAGGGCTCAAATAAATGTGATACATTGATGCTTCACCAGTTTTAAATTAACTGCAAATACCAAATAGAGGATTCTTTTTGTTTACCTCCAGCCATCTAGAAGTCACACATCTGGCTTAAACTAGTTGTCTATCCTCAGAGGAGAGGGATGAATACTGCCAGAAGTCAAATGCCTTCCTATTTATTTTAAATACTTTTCTTAGGCTACAGTGAATCACACGCTGAAAGCCCTTACCTCCCCATGGCTGTAAAGGAACATACAAAACCAAGTTTTAGATAATTAAGGAGTGGTGACTTGAAACCTACCCTCAATATTTGTTTATAAGCAGCTGTGAAACATGAGATCCGTGTGTTTAGGATTTTGATGATGGAGCCAGAAGGGGATGTGATGATCATCTGAATGTGATGATCATCACATCCATGAGCGTGATGGACTCTGAGAATAACACCCTGCCCTCTAGAAGTTAAGTTTTGCTCATCCAGAATTTTTCATGTTTTTGTAGTTGAAATCCTAAAAAAATCTGTCAATTATATAATGAATATTGCCCTATAAATCGCTGCCTTCACGAGTAACAAGGTTGTAGAAGAGGAAGAGGGAGAGTCTGAAGATGTTCCAAGAGAGAGAAGGCCAGCAGAGGATTTTTAATAATTTAACAGCAACTGGAGTGTAAGCCCATGAGGTTGTTTCTACAAGGACTTTGAACATGTACCAAGACATTATAATTTTCAGCCCCTCACTCTCTGAGCTGAATCAAAATGCATAATTTAGAGAGGAAAGTCTCTTGAACTGTTTGCCATGGGTCATGAGGCTCTGCCGCATCAGAGGAGCCTGGACATGCCATCTCTGCAGGTTCTGGGAGACTGCGGGGACACAGTGCAGGGACGGTGCCAGCTGCACCGAGGTTTCTGTCCTTCTTCAGCTGCTCTGCTGCTGGGCTTCAGGTGCTTTAGTAGACTTTTGTTTGTGAGCTGCACTCCAGCTTTTGATTGACAGAGCACCACATGCGCAGCAGCGGCTCAGCAATGCAAGTAATGTTGCAAAACAATCAGAAAGATGCAATGGGACTGGCAGTGCCAAGACAAATTTGGATGAAAGGAGATGAAAGCGAAGGAGAGCAAACAAAACCTGAGCCTTCTTGCCATCCAAGCGATGCAGTCTGAGCAGCCACTCATTTTTTTTGCAGTGCTTAAGTGGTTCAATTAAGTTGAAGGAGTAAGATAATTCCGAAGGGACACGAGTCTATTGAATGCACTGAGTAGAGAATAGTGCACATTATTGAATGAGATGCCCATGAGGGCAGGACCCCTCTTTGAATAGCAATGAAGCCTTTTTGTGCCATGGTGGGGCTGCCCAGACATACCTGAGCTGGGTTTTAACCACTTGGCTCAGATGCTGCTAACAGAGCTCAGCATGGGCTGCACACAAACCCAGCATGAGAATTTGCAGAAGCGGACCCTATGGCTGCAGCATTAGCAGAGCCTTGGCCAGGCTCAGCCTGGCTCGGTTCGCCCGGGACTGACATGCCCGCTTCAGCAGGCCCTTACCCACAGACAGCCTCTGTCTGTCTTGTTGGCTCTGGAGCCAGTTGCTGCGCCCATGCGAGAGCCAGCAGTGGTTACCAAGTCAATCTGAAAGTTGCTAGTTCTGGCTACTGGTTCTGGTCCTGCTTTGTCGTCAGGATGCCCAAGGACCAGACAGCTTGGAGTCTAGACTGCAAGGGTGTTTAGCATCTAATATCTTTGGCCATGGGACCACAGAAATCTCGTTCCTTTAGGAAGAGGCTCAGGAATAGCGTCTTTCCCTCCCTGCCAGTTGGATCACCTTCATGGCATCTTTGAGAAAGAAGAGCACTGCCTTTGCAGCTGAATGTCTAATGTTACAGGCGACTTTTGCAGGCCTTTTCTGGATTTGCATGCCATGTAAACTCAAATTCCTTAGACACCTAAATGAAGTCAACTCTAACCTTGGTTTATAAAGCATTAGCACCTGGACAGTAGGATTTTCTGAAGTCATCTGTACAGAGCTGTGTGTCTTGCTCAACTCCATTGAGATTTTCATCAATATTAGGCCATGAAAGGTTACTATTCGAAAACAAGAGCATAGCAAAACTAGAAAGAGTGGGAGAATACGATGTTTACTACCATGTTAAATTGAAAGAGGGAAAGATGGGTAAAAATGAAAAATATTCCTTTTATTTTTTTAACCATAACACTTTCCCCTTTCTTTCCTGTCTTATATTTCCTAATGGAAGGAGGAAAAATGATAAACTTTTCTTTACTCTTGCTTTTTCAGTCTGTGGAAACGACAACAGCCAAATCAGAAGCCAAAACATTTTCAAGATACTTCTGTTATCTCCTCTTATTGAAACACACAAAACTAAAAGGTAACGAAGGCCACCTATGAAATGTCTTTTCACCTTTTTTGCTAAACACATCAGAGTCTGATCAGCCCTAGAGAAAAAAAAAAAAAGAAGATAGAACAGGGCAGTTGCTTTGTCTTTCAGGCACAGACTCAAAAATATGGATAGGTTTATATATAAATATATATACAGTAACCAAAACCTCAAATTCAAATACACCTGAGCTTTGGGGAAGTTTGTATATTCATTCAATCTTTGTGGCTTAGGCTCATCTGTAACAGAAATATTTGCAAATAGACAGAATACTTCCTCTTTAATCTTATCTAGCAATCTGTCTGTTTGTCTGGGTTTTTCCTAGAGATGGCCTCAGATCCTGATATCTGAGGGCTGCACAGCTAAATTAAGGCGAGATCATACCAAACTTCACAGAGGCCTTTCTTTTTTTTTATTTGCCATGAGCATTTCTTTCATTATAATTCATTGGGATGAAAAACAGAGTAGTCACGTAGCCTGGCTCAGCCTCTGCTGGTCCCGTGCTTGGCCCACCTTTGGGAAAACATCTTATTTTGACTGATGGTTATTTGCTCTAAGGGAAGACTGTGGCTGAGATGCACAAAACGGCTCTGCAAGAGCTGCAAGTCCTCTTTCCTGAGGCTCTTCCAGAGTGTTGAGAACAACCCAACTTTGGCTCCCAGCTCTTGTGCCTCTGCCACATCAGGCAGCATCCAAGGATACCTCAACAGCTGCTCTTCAGGTCACACATCTAGGAAGGGTGAGTCCTGGATTCATTTTTTTTTTTCCCTGTTCACAAAGAGGATTGTTCAAGGTTTCATGCCTCCAATGCCACCTTTAGGCAGCTTGGCAATAGGAAAAAAGATGGTAAAATTTCCGGATCTATACGCGTGTGCCTGGCTAATTGCTGCAAATTAGCTTGGCCCATTTATGCCCTTGAAGAACCCCAGGGAAATAAACCAGATACACTCCAGCTAAGCGCTGCACTGCCTTCGGTTCACACCGTCTCGGAGGACAAGAGGTTGATGAAGTTGTTTTGTAGCTTTTCAGACCATGTACTGCTTAGACAATTACCCTGCATTGTATTTTGAACAATTTATCATGGCCCTTACCTGTGTCAGTAATTACAATCACCCCTGAGATTTAGTGAACCGGGAAGGGCTCCAAATTCAACAGAGCCGTGCCATGCAGCGTGGATGGAGAGAAATAGGAAAATTTCTCAGAGTTTTATTGTGTTCTTTCCTGTCTGTATCCCCCACGTTGCTCAGTGGGGTTTTGTCACCTCCTCAAGCATTTTATTCTGGGTATGTTCTCACCACTTCAGATTCTCCCCATTCCCTGCGCAAGACTTCACCGATTCCTACCAGTGCTTGTGTGGTTAATGGGTGAGAGGAGGGGAGTATACACATCTGAAAGGAATGCGAGAAATATAAACGATTTTATTAACAAGACCACAAAACTATTTTTTTAATATATGCAGCCATTTACAAGGATGAAACAAACAAACAAACAGAAAAACCCACTGGAGAGACACAGTCGGTGTCAGAGAGCATAGCAAACTGGCACAGGCAGTATGGGCAGGTTTGGGTAGGGTCTTTTTCCTTCACCCTACCTCCACCATGGGCTATCCTCAGCCAACACCAATCCCTATGAGCAGAGCGCAGCGCTAAGGAGGTGGCGTGCCATGCGTGTCCTGCTGCGGTGCCAGTGATGATGCCAGCTGCGTCAGGGCTCGGGCAATGACCGAGAGATGGCTGTTCATCGTCCGTAGCTCTGCCAGGATGTCACTGACGTTTGCCGACGCCTGCTCGGAGCTCGAGGGCATGGCATGGGCAGCTGGTGGTGAGGAAGCAGTCCCTGGTGCCCTGTCTCCTACGGATGCTGCCTGGGGATTTCCATCACGGGAGGGGAGTGGGGATGTGCTGCTGGACTGCATCATGCCTTCTAGGGAGCCTGTTCTTACGGGTGATTGGTCTTCCTCCTTCTCTTGAATGGTGGTGAGTGTTGCAGAAGCAAGAAAGGGCAGCCAGTTGATGAGGTGGGTGGCACTGCCGGGTGGGACTACTGGCAAATAAAGGCCAGGGTGCAGGGATGGAGTAGAGGCAGGTGGTGCAGGAAGAGAATTCAGTCCAGGGTGAAGAACGGCAGCAGAAGCTGATGTTGATGGTGGAGTAGGAGGTGGTTTGGGATGTAAAGCTGCAACACAGGCAGGTAATGGTGGTGAAAACGATGCAGTACCAGTGTCAGAAGAAGAGGGTGATGCTGGAGCTGTGAAAGGTCCAGGTTCTTCAGAGATTGGTGGTGAAGTGGCAGCGGGTGGAGCATCAGGTGTGCAAGCGTCTGAATCTGCAAGGAAGACACATCATGAGCCTTGATTGACACAGGTGCTTACATACATAGATTGTTGCTTGCTGTCACTTCAGTGGGATCAGGCCTTTTTGATGAAAAGGGGAATTTCAACAGCTGGTAGTGATACTCTCTGTAGGTCAATTAGAAAAGAACAGATATATTCAAAACCAAGAGCCTACTGTAAGTAAACATGCAACTTAACGTTATAAATCTAAATTACCCTTCCACTCTCATTCTTCATAAAGCCTGTAGACAGGTTGTAGTAATTTTCTGATTGGCGTCTCATAGGTATGCATTTGCTCTAGAATTACCTACTGTGTTTTCCTGGCCAGTCATGGAATGATGGTGATGTCCTAACTGACTCAGATCTCCCGTGGAGATGTGAGGGCTGGATGGCTGCTTCATAGAGGGTCCCAGTTTTCATCATTCTGGTTTGAGCAGACAGGTCAACACCAGAAACAGTAAGAGCTAGTTGGTGGCTTAAACTCCTCGATAATTTTAATTTTTGTGTGGAAGCGTGACAGAATGTACACAATTAAACTTAGATGTAGATCCCTGCCTGTTGATATTGAGCAGCTTCAACTAGGAAATCAACAAAGAAGAGAGAGAAAGAAATTGTTGACTCTGAGCATCCTGGCTTGAAGCCTATGCCATCTTGCAAGCAGTTCAGTGGACCTCATCCAATGTCCTCTAAAGTCGTTAGAAACATGCTTGCTTGTACTGAGTCCAATATATACAGTGTAGGACGATAAAGCAGCTTCTGGGGGATATGCAAAGACTTGAAGAGCCATGTTATGGTCCAAGGTGCTCTACAGACTGTGCCCAGTTGGTAAATTCTGTATAGTAAGGATGATCCTATTTTTACAATAGTCCAGAAAGCCAGAAATATAAAAGGAAATGTTAGCCTTTCAACAGCCTCAAAGATCTGCATAAGTGGAATTACTATACCACGTCTTAGAACTTTATTTTAGCATTGGGAACACATTACGCAGAAGGTGGTGAGATACTACAGGAATGGTCAGTATAAGACAGATGGATTTTAAAACTACTTGTGCTGCAATTAAGTGCAAATTTTAAGGCACTGCTGCGGATACAAAGACACAAATTAGTAGATTCATCTAGGTTAAGACAGCCTAGAGAAAGCCAAGTACTGAGGTGTTAACACCATACTATTATTATTTCTGGCATCTAAAAACTCTGACGTGAGAAATCCGTTTTCATTACTGGCTGGTTTGGTATTCCAGATAGCAAACTGAAACTGTGAGTCAAGAGCAAATCAAGGTTTTTCCTTGTCATTTCTAACACCAAACCAATCGGACATGCAGCCAACAAAAGTCCATCTTTATTCCACATGGGACCACCATGTTTTCCCTAACCACACACACATTTTGATTGGAGGGGATTATGACACAAAATTCAGCATGCCTTTATGTCCCTGAGATTTTTATGGAAAGTTACTACAGGTTCCGTGAAACAGTTTCCTTCCTTTGTGTATTGGCTTTCTTCCCAACACAAAGTCCCTGACTACACAGGTGCCTGGTCCCTGCTCACTAGAGGTGGGCTGAGGATGCTGGATGTTGGGTTTCTGAAGCGTTATTGATTGGGCTTTGGTTTTTCAAAACAAAAACAAAAATAAAGCACAGTTCAAATACAGGTTCCATTTCCATCCAAACCACCAAAGTTTGCAAAGGGTGAGATGAAAGGTTCAGGTTTGGCTCAACCGTAGTGTTAACCAGAATAGTGTTTATGGTCCATATATAGCATGGCTAATCCCTGTCCACACTGGCCAAACAAACCAAATTAAGTGTTTTTCCATACATTGGAGAGCAGAGGAAGCTCAACAAACCTTGAGGTAATCTGGTTTAGCTCTGTGACAAATAACTGTCACAAATTATTCCTAAATAGTTAAAAGAACAATTTTGTTTAAAATACAAGGAGTAGTAATTAATAGAGACAAAAATCTGGCCACCAAAGGCTCTTCTTTTAGCTGCAATCTTTCCAAACAGTGTGGCTTACCGATCAGAAGCCACAGCTTTGTCATCTCTCTAATCCCCCCTTAAGATTTATTTATGCCATGCAGCCTTTTAAACACATCTCGCTCAACTTGATCAGGCTCCCATACTTCCGTCTAAGAAATTCCACATGGGCGTCTGAGCACCCACGCAGGGAGCTTGGAGTATCCAGGACATGTGGAAGCTCTTGCACCACTCAGATCAGCGGCCAGGTATGTGAACAGCTGACATAGTGCAGTCTGCGCACCCGGAGCAACTGTTTGTCTGGACAAGATCTGACCCAACTGCTCAATATCCAAGGACCCAAACTGATGATGAAAATAGCAGAAGCATGGAACTGCTGAGATTGGAAGTGACCTCTGGAAACCATCTAGTCCAAACTCCTGCTCAAAGCAGTGTCAGCTAGGGTGAGTAATTTTTTCTCCATGGACAAAATTGTTAGGGTATGTTTCAGAAAACCCAGGAATATGGAAGTCCTAAGCATGATGAAGCATGGAGCAAGCTACTACAGTTGCTTATCATATACAACAGGAAGATTCTATTAATCTCCTTCCTCTCTAACTTTGTTTTATCTGAATGTTGCAACTCATCACAACTTTAGTGCTTGCTTTTTTCACTTTTTTGTATAGCCCCAGCGTAAAGAGAGTCTTCTTAAGTGGAGCATCCAGGTGCACAGTCATTCCTAGGAGTGTTAAATCTGCATCGAGACAGAGCTATAGCTAAGTGGGGTTGGTTGGATGTCTGCAGAGAAGAAAGATGTTGAAGACAAGGTGGTCAGACAAGCACAGTGACCTTCCTTAAACATATCAACCCACCTATGCATGGTCATTCAGCATCCTCCACTACACTCAGCCTAGAGAAGATGAGTAGATACCATAGCATATGCAAAGACTGACTCTTCAAGGCAGGCTTATAGCTTAGTAGAAGTTCTTCCACCAGTTAGAGAAGCCAATCCAGGACTCAGAAAACCTGAGTTGGGATTCACTTCATCTAAACAACTGAATCGTAAGTGCCTAGTGAAGAAATTCCCTGAAAGCACCTGCATTTTCTACATTGCTATATATAGCACCTGCATTTTCTGTGTTGCTACATAGAGGGAAAGCCCGCAAAGGGAAGACTTAGACACACGCTCTGAACAGACTCAGAGTCACTTACATCTTTCCATTGAGTGCACAGGGAGCTTAGCCTCATCCTTCAGGAGAACTGGTTTACTGAGATAGGATTCAGGTCACTTTTAGCTTTAGCAGCCTACAGTATAGATGTCTATATATTCTCTAATTCCCCAGCCTTTCTTCACAGTCAGTGGATGAAATAGGATGAAATAGGTCTAGCATCACCTCTTTATTGCTAGAATGAGAAATATTTGTCCTTATCTCTTTGCTGGGGATAATACAGGATAATTAATTCAGATGTGGATGCCATTCACTGAAAATGCCTACACTTCAAAAAGAACTTCTACATCAGGTGCATAAAAACAAGATGGGTGGTCAGCTTAGAAACAATGAATGCCTGACATTCACTGCCCTCCTGACCTTCCACAGATCTCTCAAATAGAAAGCAGTCATAGAATCATAGAATGGTTAGTGTTGGAAGGGACCTCAAAGATCATCTAGTTCCAACACCCTCCACTACACCAGTCACACATCTCTGAGTTACCTATTTGCAAATAACAGAATACTTTGCCCTGCCACACCTGAGAGGGCCTCAGGTTGTTAAAAACTCAGAGGACTGTAAATAGCCCAGGTGATACAATAATGAGAAAGAGCAAAGGAGCACCTCCAGGAGAGGATTTCCTTGTACTTGTCCTGCCTATGATGATGGATGTTACCAGAAGATTACTGGGCTGCCCTGTGAGAATGGGGGAACTAGAGTTATTTTAAATGCATTCATCTGTATAAGAAGAGCATGTATTTAACTTTTCAGGTGATCTTGGCTATCTTAGATGCTTTTGTTTGACTACTGATTTTATCTACCTTGCAGCCAAATTGCTGCAAACTCTAATTTCTTAGTCTTTTGTCAGCTAACAAGGGAAAGGTCTGTGAAGAAGAAACCTTGAGGGAAAAGCAGGGGCATGACTTTCCACTGCCTAACACACTGCATGGGATTCAGCTCATCTAACATTAGCCTTTTAGCTGGCATCTAGTGCAAGGCACTCGTCTGGGCTCCAGCAGAGAAAGAAGCACCTCTGGGGACAAGCCACCCCAAGCTATCAGGTCCCTAAAAAGGGTGGGAGGATCATACTCTGGAGTGCCCCTCCCATTCCAGCACTTCTTGTAGGACTGAGTCAACTATCTTAGATGGACTGACTAACTTCTAAATGGCTGAAGTTAGGTGACCTGATTTCCTCACTTTATATGCAGATTTAGCAAGTAATTTCCTATCAAATTAGAATGGCAGATGGGTAGTACTGCCTCTGTGCTCCCATGGAAGGCATAAAACCATGGAGATAAGGTTTAAGGTGCCAGAGAGTAGAGACTTAGGCTCCTAGAGTGCTTCAAGAAATGGACTGCTGGTTCAGAAGATAATCTGGTGATAATCTTTCAAGTGAGTCAGCACTGAAAAAACAACCTATTTATTTCAATGATAAGGATATTAAGACTTAGAAACAAGTAATGTAGTCCCTTCAATGATACAGCAACCTGCAGGAGGCCTTTGTGCGCTGTCCCTTCTGCTCTGGTTTATGAAGTTGCTCTAAATCTAGCAGCGTTTGCACGTGTGCCTGTGAGACCAAGTGCGTGCACACACTCCCACTTCGTTTTGCAGCTGCTTCCCAAGAAAGTCTAAATATACACCTGCCTCCTCTTTCTGGTAAGAAGTGAAACTGAAGTCCTAACAGCTTGTGGTAAACGAAAGTCCAATAGCAACGTCTGCGCAAGGGAGGGCGGTACTGCTTTTGTATGGACAAAGTCCGTCTTTGGGATCTGAATCTGAAGCCATCCCTCCTGTGCTGCTCAGTTTGATTCAGATACAGCGTGGCACCGCTTC